AATGGCCAACACCTGTGCCTACCTGCCCCTTGGCTTTCACAGAGCCCATCCTTTTTGTAACAGTCTCGGTTTTTTATCGGCCGTACCAAGGAGTCACCTCACCACCCAGACAGGACCGCTGAAATCAGCGGGGTGCACCTATCCTGTGCAGGGCAGTAGGGAAACTCCTAAAGAGGCGATAATAATCCCGGACGAGCCCCCAAATTGTTGGAAATAATCCAAGTAATTTTGTCAGGACGGTATCTCTGATAAAAGCAGAATTTATTCGCGATTGCAATGGCGGGCGTCCCGCAAGTAGGAGCGCGCCTATGGACACAACATGACAGCATTTGTACCCTGTTTTCTCCCCCTTACCTCCCCCCTCCCCTGTTTCCCCAATGGCTGGGTACTCCAGGTTCACAATCTTATCAGAAGGTTTACATTTGTTATTTACTTGTTCATTTGTTTGTTATCTGGTGCCAGTCAGTAGTCATCCTGTTGTTTCCAAGATGTCTTCTTGTTGTTCTCCTTGCCGTATTGATATGGTGATTTTCTTTAAAGTCATCTTTAAACAAAGAGCACTTGGGGGATGATGTCAGGCCTTCCCAATGTCTCTTCAGGCGCTTCCTCGGGCATGCCATGGCTTGTTCTCTGGTTTGCTCTCGTGCAGGATATTCTTGCAGTGTGTATGATAAAATATACATATATACACCTATATACAGAAACTTATCAGAGATCTTCCCCCGGTTAAGTAGAAGGACTCCCAAAAAGAACTATGATTGCGGAGATCATAAAATAAAAATAATTTAATCCAATTCTAATGCTGAAACAACATTTGATTCCCACAGTGATCATAAAATCATTACAGAATGGTGGAGCCACAGAATGGGGACCTTTTAGTTCTTAGAACCAGCAAACGGTTCTGTTGGAATGGACCTTGAAGGTCACAGAATCGTGGAATTGCTGGGTTGGAGGGACCTTATAGATTGGTTGGGGTGGGTTGAGTTAGACAAGACCTTAAAGACCCTCAAATTCCAACCCCCTGCCGTGGGTAGTGTCACCTCCCACCAGACCAGTTTGCCCAGGGCCCTGTGCAGGCTGGCCATGGGCACCTCCAGTGTGCTGAAGGTGTCAGGGTGTGTGTGGAGAGCATCATGAAGAGATGGACCTTATGATGTCGTATCGCTTTTGGATCATGATACCCCCCCGTCCTCAATTTCTCCTTATCCTTTTTTTCTCCCCCTGTAGATTCTCAAGTTATTCAGGAGATGGGGGATCACTCACACTGGTGTGTGGTGGCATACTGGGAAGAGAAGATGCGTGTGGGTCAGCTGTACTCTGTCCAAGAGCCCTCCTTGGATATCTTCTATGATCTACCTCAGGGGAATGGCTTCTGCCTCGGGCAGCTCAACTCAGACAACAAAAGCCAGCTGGTGCAGAAGGTACGCAGCAAGATCGGGTACGGCATCCAGCTCACCAAGGAGGTGGATGGCGTGTGGGTCTACAACCGCAGCAGCTACCCCATCTTCATCAAGTCGGCCACACTGGACAACCCTGACTCCAGGACATTGCTGGTGCACAAAGTGTTCCCTGGTTTTTCCATCAAGGCTTTTGATTATGAGAAGGCATGCAGCCTGCAGAGGCCAAATGACCACGAGTTCATGCAGCAGCCATGGACCGGATTTACCATGCAGATCAGCTTTGTGAAGGGCTGGGGCCAATGCTATACCAGGCAGTTCATCAGCAGCTGCCCTTGCTGGTTGGAAGTTATTTTTAATGATCGATGACATGAGACGGAGCAGACTCATAGCATTTATACTACTTTGCTGTTATTACTTCCGAGTGCTTGCTTTTCATGCAACCTTTTTGTTCTTGTTTTGTTTGTTGTCATTTCCCATTTTAAGAAATAGCTTATGGAAAGATTTTCATCCAGGTATTTTGATAAATAGATCTATTTTTTTAAAGTGTGAACAACCAGTAACTCAGAAGGGCAAGTAAAGGGTGGAGTGGGAGCAGACTGTATACAATAACCATTTCCCACTTCCAAAAGGATTATCCTATGTGATGGGTGGGTTGGGAGCCACTTGCTCTTGGGTAGCATGATGGGATCCCCTTATTTTTCACACTCTCCAATCCCAGTGCTGGTGGCACCCCTACCCGGCAGTGCTAATCCAATGTAGCTACCACCAATGGTGCACAAACTTCCCACCAGGTCTTATCCCACCTGTGTAGTTTCTGTCATTGAGTTTTGTCATTGGGTCATTGTTGTTAGGTTTGCGTCTTGTCCCTGTGTCTATCCTGTACGCTGTCCATCCATACACTCATCCTTCCACCATTTTATCATCATGGATTGGTACAAGGGGAGAAAACAGTGGTGAAGAAACCATGCATGGCTCATGTTATGCAATTGGAGCTGAGATACAACATGACATAAGCCTGAAAAAAAACAACCCACAAAGCAAAACAAAATAAAAACAAATGGGGAAGAAAAAGTGAAAAAGGAAAGAAGATAGTTGGAGATAGAAGAAAAAGAAAAAGGATAGTTGAGTCTGTCAGAACCTGTTGACTTAAGTTATGCTGGTACAATTATATCTAGAGATGCCATTGTGCTTTCATTTCTTCTTGAATTCATATACACGTATGATACTTTTACATTGTTCTTAGCTCAATGAGCATGTTTAGAACTTAACATAAGCTATTTTTCTAAAAAGGTTTAAATGAACAAGAGAGCATTCACATTGGAACTTTGGCATTGTAGTGCGTTGGAAAGAAAACACAAAAAAGGATTCCTTAAAAAAAACCTGAGATTTATTAAAGAAAAAAATGTATTTTATGTTATATACAAATATATTATTACTTGTAAATACAAAGACATTTTATAAGCATCATTATTTATGTAATGTGCAATGTGTATAAATGAGAAAAATAAGATGCACTTTGCTTTAATATAAATGCTAATGACAAATGCCAAATTAAAAAAAAAAAAAACAAAAAAAAAACACGAGATTGGTGTTTTTTTCTGTGCATGTTCTTATCCAGATTGTGTTTTTTTTTCTAAAGGAGTTTATGTTCCATTAAGAAATAAAAGTATACACTTGACCCATGGAGCAGAATGGCTTTGTTAGAGGTGGGGAGGAGCTGCAGGATAGGTGTTCCTGTTGCTTGTCATGTCAGCTTGAGCAGACTGCCATGGCAGCAGCCCAGTGCTCATCCTATACCATCCCATACCTAAAATACAATGGCTCTGAGGCCAATGTGTGATCTGGGCTGGCCCATCGCTTTGACTGGTACTCCATGTCACATCCAACATCCACATGTCCTCAGCAGGAGAGAAGTCCCTACGGCTGGTTGAACTCTTACCTTGGGTGAAGGTAAACCTTTCTGCATGAAAACCACCAGCTCTGTGTAGCTTGGAGGCTTTGGAGGGGTGCAGCATCTGTGTCTTGGACCCTACTGGCCTTCACGAGGTGGATGGATGTGGTGGTGGATTAGTCTTTGTGAGCATGAGAACCAGGTTCAACTGCGCCTTTCTGTTCAACATGCCCTACCCAAAGGGATTTATTGAGATGCAATATTTGGTTTGCTCTGAATGGACTGTGCCTTCAGCTAGATTCCTTTCAAAGGCTTCAAAATGGCTTTGGATAACGTGTGATGGATGTACCCACCTGTCTTGCTTGGTGTGCCCAAGAGGGCAGACATTGGGGTGACTATCTACAGTTCAGTTTACCTCATTTCCTTTCCATTCTGTTCCAGAAGCCTTGAAATACTCAATAACCTCATCACATCTCCATGGTCCAGTGGTCAACCAGCGACAACAGTTAGTGTGGGAGGGTCAAGGAGGAGTGCTCCAGTCTGTTCTGTGGTAGCAATTTGGGAATTTGGGATGACTGAAATCAGTCCATTCTGGTTAACCATAATCTCACTATGTACTGAGGCTCCAGCAAAACTGGCAGTAAATCATCTGAAGATATCCTGCATCCCAGTCAATTATGGTACAATTGCACCTTTTTTTCTCAACTGTTGCTGAGTGGTAATAGAAGAGTGCAATAAAGTAGGGTCAAAGCGTGTCACTTTTTTTTTTGATAAATCATATGTGAAATCTGCTCAAACTGTCAACTGCTGATCAAAGATAGTGCCTGAGATGGGTGATGTAGGACAGAGTTTCCCTCTACTCCACCATCGTGAGATTATTGGATCAAGTGGTTTCCACAGGGCAGAAATAATCCCTACTTTACTTGGGTGATTCTCTGCATGGGACTCATTCCCAATCCGTCCCAAGGACCCCAAGGAATCAGTGGGCTCTTGTCTTGCAGGCTCTTAGCAAGTCCAGTGGGTGAAGGGATTCATGGAGATGTCAGGGCAATGGAGTATTTACAGAATGGCAGCTCCACACATTACAAGACCTTAGGAGAATATTTGCTTTGTGCTGTGCTTTGTCCCCAGTGTTCACCAGTGGAAAGTAGCACTGGTGGAGCATAACTTAATCTGAAAACATTAGCTCAGCCACATTTAAATATGCACACATCTGAGTTTGCAGGAAAGCACAAGTGAGGAAGAACCAGCTTAAGGTGAATTAATAAAAAACACCTGCATGTTTCCTTCATGTGGAAACAGCATTTTTTTGTGTTTTCTACATGTGTTTAAATATATGTCATGTTTGGAGACAGAGCCTTGGTACCACCAGGTCATGTGATGCTACCTGTCTAGGTCCTAGTGGAATACAGACACCTGTGCACCCACACATTGGCCCAGTTCAGTGGAGAGACAAACCTAGGCATGATAGTGACCTTAAAAATCATAGAACTGCAGAACCATAGAATGGTTGGGAGGGACCTTAAAGATCATCCAGTTCTAATCTCTGCCATGGGCAAGGTTGCACCTGGGGCAGAGAGCTTTGGAGGAAGAGGTGACATGGTTTTATGATTTTTTGGTTATCGGTATTCCACATCAATGTCTTACGGGCTGGTTTGGCCCGGTTCCATGACTAGTGGGGAAGAGGGATTCGCAAATCCACACCTCCAGGAAAGGGAAACAGGGGACCCCAAAGAAATTAAAAACAGCGGCAACTACCATAGGAGAAACAAACTAATTTACTAAATATGGCACTGGAATGCAAGATAAAACACTGCAATACAATACAATTAGAATTGAAGCTCATAGATCAAATATAATGAGAGAGTATCCAAAAACAGAAGACTTTACCATAATGCTGAGGTGAGACATGCAGTCGGGTCGAGCAGCACAGACAAGAAAGATCTAAAAAAGGACAGGTCAGATGATCTAAGAAAACTTATATCCTCTCTCTGAACTCAATGACCTCTGGAGTATGAAGTTCTTCTCTTCTGGGACAGGTACCCAGAGCTGGAGCATTAACTCTTAAACTCCCAGTGCACTACACAATGTTATGATGTGGAACACCAGTAACCAAAAACCATAAAATCGTAACATTCCACCCCTTATTCCAAATAACTACATCATGATTAATACACACAAAGTAAAAAAACAAACATTACCAAGCATTAAACACACACACATGCGCACACGCACACACACATAAATATATACACAGAATTACTGATTACACGCCCCCAACATTAAATTCCCTTGTGGAACACATCAAAAATCCCCACCTTTCTAAATGTCATGGTTTTGTGATTTTTGGCTTTCGGTATTCTACATCATAACATCATGTGGGGCACTGGGACTTTAACTGTTGATCCTCAAGTCCTGGGTACCTGCCCTGAAGAGAAGAAGAACTACATTCCCCAGGGGACCTTGCGGTCAGGGAGAGGAGGTTTAACTCCTGGCAAGGTCACCTGAGTTTTTTTTCTCACCTGCCCTTCGTCATGGACACTGCTCCCATCTCCCTGCTGCTCAACTGGACAGCGCATCTCACCTCAGCGTTGTGGTGAGGCCTATCCACCTTTCGGACATTCTCTCTCTCTCTCATTATATTTGATTTATTAGCTTCAATTCTGATTATATTGTATTATAGTGTGTTATCTTGCATTCCGATAATATACTTAGTAAATTAGTTTGTTTCTCCTCAGATCAGTGCCACTGTTTTAATTATTTAGGGGTCCCCTGTTTCCTTTTTTCCGGAGGCGCGGATCTGCGGATCCCTCCTCCCCGCTCGTCACGGAACCGGGCCGAACCAGCCCTTAAACCGTTGACATTCTTGGTGGAGAATGCGGGCAAAGGCTGTTTTTTAGCTTTTTAGGACGAATCTCTCTCTGCTCTCGGAGAGCTTCGTTGGGAAAGTTTATCTTTTTCACCGGCGCTCACTGAAAACTTGACCTTGAAAGTCTAGGCGGACTGCCAGTGTTCTGGGATATTTGTAAACTTTGAGCACTGCTATCTTGCTCCCGTAAAGAGAAAAAAAATGATTTCACTTTATCTTTTAAACCTGTTTGCAGAGGGAGCTGCTAATTTCACAGAACTTGGGATTTTTAAACAGGTTCCCAGTCTCTCCTCTGAATCCTTTATGCAGTTTTTGAATGCTCACCTGATGGCTTTGTTAATCTCCCTGAATTTACTGTTCATTATTTCAGTCAGTTTTTGTATTTATTGTATTTTGAGGAAGCCTTCCCCAAAACCAGAGAATACTGAATGGCAGGGAGTGTGGAGAGGCTCGGGAGAGATTTTAGAGAGATGGCCATCTTCGGTGTCATGGAACTTTACTCCTGAACACCTGAAAGACCCTGAAAGCTTAAGCATTTATTTGAGACAGGAATGTTGCGGCTCAAGCAGATCTGAGGAGGCACAAATGATTTGGGGCCTGGCTAATGTTTACCGGGCCTTATTCAATAGTATCCCAAAAAGGGAGAGAGTTTGTGAAATTGAGAGAGAGTGTCTGAGAGCTGAGAGGGAGAATCTCCAGGCTGAGAAGGAGAGTTTCCAGGAGAGACTCCGAGCCGAGAGGGAGAATCTCCAGGTCCAGAGAGAGAGTCTCCTAGTTGATAAACAGAGTCTCCAAATGCAAAGAGAAAGTCTCCAAGCTGAAGGGGAGAATCTCCGAGCTGAGAGAAGGAATCTCCAATCTCAACGAGATGCCTTCGAATCCGAGCGAGACTCCCTCCAATCCAAACTCAACACCCTCCAAACTGAGCGAGACACCCTCCAATCTGAACTAAATAATCTCATAGTCGAACATGACAGACTCCAAGCAGAGCTAGAGGGTGAGAGCATTGGAACTGACCAACCTGATCAACCACAGGAGGCACCACAATTGATGTCAGTCGCCCCTGTAAGAGGACGGAAAATAAAACGAATCTCGACTCAGAACAGAAGAAAGAGGAGGAAAGAGGTCCAGAGGAGTGGCTCCGAGGTCTAAGAGAAGCACCTCTGAGTCCAGGGGAGGGGCCCTCAGTAAGACCACAGTCACCAACGTCTACAAGGGCAACAGGAAGTCCTGAAAGAGGAAGAGGTGAGCAAGATATTGTTACCTTTGTTGATCGATCTCTGAAAATGAATGAAATTCGAAGTCTGAGAAAAGACTTCTCACGTCACCCAAATGAGCCTATTGCCACTTGGTTACTTCGATGCTGGGACAATGGGGCCAACAGTGTGTGGCTAGATAGTAGAGAAGCTGGCCAATTGGGTGGCATTGCTAGGGACTCAGCCATTGACAGAGGCATTGGTACATGCCAGAACCAGGCCTTCACCCTCTGGAAGCGGATGTTGTTAGCTGTAAAAGAAAGATACCCCTTCAAAGACGATCTGATGCCTGAGAAAAAGAAATGGACTGATATAGAAAAAGGCATCAATTATTTGAGAGAATATGCTGTTGTAGAAATGCTACATAGCCCTGATT